GAAGATTAATCCACCACCAAGTATTTATTAAATGTATATCATGAAGAAGGCACTATGCTAAGTGTTAGGGGTATAGACACAAAAATGAAAGTCCCTGCCCCGAAGGAACTTACATTCTAATGGATATATACATATATACATCCATATATTACATATACACAAAATAAATACAGGATAATTTGAGGGTGGAGTTGAGGCACTAGCAGCTGAGGGGTGGGGAAGGCCTCCTACACATAGGAGTGGCATTTGAGGTAAGCTTGGAATGAAACTAGAGATTTTAAGAAGCAGAGATCAGGATGGAGTATATTTCAGGCATGAGAGAAGAGCCTGTGGAAAGTCATAGAGATGATAGGAAGGTGGAACATTTGCTGTATAGAACGGGGAGGTGAAATATTTTGATTTATAGGACAGGGAGGTAGAATGTTTGCCGTATAGGATAGGAAGACACTACTTTCCTGATAGGGCTGTTGTGTGGAAAGTGATTTATAAACTTTGATGCATCAAATAAATGTGACCACTTATTATTAATCGTCTAAATGTTTATAAAATTAAATTGAACTCAACAGATGTTTTAATTCAACATTTGTTAAATGCCTGTTATGCACAAGACATAGTCCCGTGGGGACTGTCATGGCAGCCTGCTGGTGGGTCTTCTTGGCTCAAGTTCCACTCTACTCTCACCCACTCTCCACTCTGCTGTCAAATGGATCTTCCTAATATGCAGGTCTGGCCATATCGTGCTTGTAGGATCTAATATAAAATCCTCTGTTTGGCTTTTGACGTTCTTTGTAACCTGGCCCATTCCTGCCTTTCCAGTCTTCTTACTCCTTCCACCCTTCTATCTACTCTGATCTAGTGTCATGGCCCTGCACATGACACTCATCCCCTGAGACTCCAGAGTTTTTTCACTGGCTGTCCCCCATGCCTGGAACTCTCTTCCTCCTCATTTCTACCTCCTATTGTTGTTCAACCTTCATTCTTGAAGAGGACAGTGACACTAGGGAGGTGATACCCTGGATGGTAAGTGCATTGGATGTGGAAGAATCAGTCTGGGAGGGGAAGACCCTCAGGGTTTCTGGCTAACATAGAAACAATTGCTGTTTACTTTCACTCTGAGCCAATCTGGGCCCAAACAATGACCCAAGTGGGGGTTGGCCTGGCACCCATTGTTAGTCATTCATCAGGAGCCCAAGTGACTCTGGTTTAAGGTTTGGTCCTTAAGAATGAAAGGTTTCTGTGATCAAAATTTACATTCCTTTGGGCAGAGCTCTGGAAAGTAAGGGTTTGATACCGTGTGTAGAGAGGGAGGGGAAAGAAAGGAAGCAGTAGCAGTAGCAGCAGCAGCAGCAGTAGTAGTAGTAGTAGTAGTAGTAGTAGTAGTAGTAGTAGTAGTAGTAGTAGTAGTAGTAGTAGTAGTAGCAGCAGCAGCAGCAGCAGCAGCAGCAGCAGCAGCAGCAGCAGCAGCAGCAGTAGTAATAGTAGCAGCAATAGTAACACCAACAGCAAAAGCAGTAGCAGTGGTAGCAGCAGCAGCACTAGTAGCAGCAGCAGTAGCAGCAGAAGCAGCAGCAACAGGGAGGGAGAGAAGAAAGAAAAGGAAAGGAAGAAAGAAGCTGTATTCCTCAACTGGTCAGTTCCAGTTAATGAGGTCTAGAGGTTAGGGGTCCTGGAATCCCAAAATCACTACATGTGGGTCCTGCCCGAAAGAATTTAACCCAAGCCTTCTTTCAGCCAAAAACAAGGTTTATTGAAGATTCATCATATTAGTTAGACTCATAAGGAATCTCAGCATCTGTGGGCTATTGGCTAAATTGTGAAAATCTGCGCAGTGACTAGATTATAACAATCCCAGCCTCTTATTGGAGATAAGATGGAGCTTATATGCAGAAAGCCTGTGGGAGGGATCTAGGAGTGGCCAAGCAGTTTGGGGTGATGGGAGGAGGGGCTTAAGGAGATCTGGATGGGAGTGGCCAGTAAGCTGGGGTGAACAGAACTCCTGGGACTTGGACAATGGAGCCTAGCTAGGATTAAGTGTGGGAAATGGCCAGGGGCCATAGGGAGGTAAGACAATGGAGGGGAGATTGGATTTAGCCACAATGAAAGGCCAGTTGAAGGGATTATAGCCTCAGGTGAACTCCAGAGATTTGGCCACGTGGGAAGGTCCAGGGTTTTCCTTTCTAGGGACCAGATCCCAGCTCCATCATTGTTGGGTCCCTGGTGGGGACTATTTCTATTCACAGAGGCTGTTATTTGTCCTTCATTCTTGGAGGAGGACCATGACATGATGCCATGACTTGCAGGTGAATTGGATTTAAATGAGGGAGGGCTGTGCAAAGTCACCAGCCTCACTTTCTCCTCCAGTGGCCAGATATAGATCCAGACAACTGGAGATGGCCCAGGATTCAGTGGGAGACCTTGGGAGGTACTGGGTGGGGGTGGGGGTGGAGATGTGGTTAAATACAGGTTGGGGGAGGGGGTAGCAAGAGAGAAGTTTGTCTGGAAAAGATCTGAGTTTTTAGTGGATTGCAAGCTGTATATGAATCAATGGTGTGACTTGGTGGCCAAAAATACAATTCCTTCAATTTTGGGTGCCATTAAATCGAGTCTGTGAGTTAAGGACTTGGAAAGTATACTGTCCCTATGTCCTGGTCAGACCACATCTCAGGCTGGTATTAAATTCTGGATGCCAAATTTTAGGATGGACATTGATAAACTGCAAGATGTCCAGAGCAGAGCAAATGGGATGGTAATGGACCTTGAATTCATTCCACGAAAGGGTCTATTCAAGAAACTGAGGCTGTTTTGCCTGGGGAAGAGAGGACTCAGGGGCTAGTGCTGTCTTTAAAGTATTTGAAAAGTTGTCATGTATGAGGAAGACCAGACTTGTTCTGCTTAGTCATAGAAAGTGAAATTAAGAGCAATGAATTAGAATTTTAAAGAGCCATGTTGGAGAGCTGAAAGGATAAATTCTTAGGTAATTAGAGCTTTAGAGAAGGGGAACAGTCTGCTTAGATCACGGCTTATTGGGTGTACTGAGGAGGGGATTCTTGTGCCATAATATAGCTTATATGAAGTGGTCTCCAAGTTCCCTTTCAACTATGAGATTCCGTAAATCTATGAATGAGGCAAAAACAAAGAAAAAACCTTACAGGAGCTTCATAGATGTTTAAAAAGTTGTGAGTATTTCAAAAGAAATTGAGGCAACATAATATTTATGCACTTATTCAGAACTTACCATGTACTAGTGTTATTCTATTCTATACTGGGGCATACAAAGACAAAACCAAAATAATCCTTTGCCTCCAAGGAATTTACAGTTTATGGAATCCAACATATTTGATGCATTCTAGAAGCTGACTTTCTGTGTGTCACAATTTATGTTCCATTGGCATATTCATTCGTTTTGATCCGTCTCGTGAGAGAGTGTAGACATTTCTACTAGAGAGTACAAAGCCATCCCTACCAGAGGCAAACAATTCACAGTATAGACAATGTGTCATTAATGTCCCACTTATGCACAAAGGAAAACCCATGATTTATCAATGTGCATGCAATACACAACTTGCATTTTTTAAATGTTTGTGGTTCTGGTATTTGTGAACTGAATCCTGTGGATGTTCCCCAAATGTGTCTTCCCTGTAGGTTAATCCTATCTCTATCCTTCATCCTTGGGCAGTATGACCTAACAGAATTTCAATTAGTTAAATTAAGACAATTTATCAATTGTCTATGATATACAAAATGAGAGATTGGTTGTGGTGTAGTAGATAGAGCCCTTGCCTTGGAGTCGGGATGAATTTGAGTCAGATCACAATTCTAGATGGCTCCATGACCTTGGGCAAATCGCCTCTTCATACCTCAAAAAGCCCACTAACACTATAAATTGTGGAACAGTTGTTGATTTCTATCAGTAGAGGGAATTTTCTCACTGGGAAGTGTCCTTACGCTGATGAAATCAGAGGTTTGCTGCTTAGAAGCTCTTGTCACACACTACCAGGATCAGGACTAGGCTTCTGGCACAGTGAGGCATATTTTTTCAAAAATGTATTTATTTTAACATTCATTTTAAAATTTTGGGTTTTAAATTCTTTCCTTCCCTTCGTCCCCTCCCATACCCATTGAGAAGGCAAGCAATGTGATACTCATTATATATATGAAGTTGTCCAAAACATTTCCATATTAGCCGTGTTGCAAAAAAGTGAAGCATAATTTTAACAAGCCCATTTGGTTTTCTCACTGTAGGTCATAATTAATCGATCAATCAGTCAACCAATCAACAAACATACCAAGGGCGCTAGTTACCAGGAACTGTGCCAAGTGCTTGGGATACAAAGAAAAGCAAAAAAAAAAAATTCCTGTCTTCAATTCTTACATTCTAATGGAGCACATAACATATAAGTAAATAGCTAGGTACAAGATACATACAGAGTAAATGGAAGGTGACCTCAGAAAGTAAAGCTTTGTAGCTGGGTGGACCATAAAAGACCTCCTTCAGAAGGTAGGATTTGGATTGAGTCTTGAAGTAAGCAGGGATCCATCCTAAGAGGAAGAGGTGAGGAGGAACAGGATTCCATCATAGGGGACCCATAATGGTGGGTTGTCCACAGATGAGAAGGAATGAGTAGACCAAGATAGCTGCGCCATAGATTATGTGGAAGGGTGTAAAGTAAGAGATTACCAGAAAGGTAGGAAGGGGCAAAGTTGGGAAGAGTTTTAATATCAAACAAAGGATATGCTCCTGAAGGTAATAGGGAGCCACTGGAGTTTAGTGAGTAGAGGATAACATGGCTAGACCTTCCTATGCTGATCTTAAGATTAGAGATTTAGAGTTTGAAGGTCATGTGGTCTGATTTTATGGATGAGGAACCTGAGACCCCATGGTTGGAAGTGACTTGTCCAAGGTCATGTAGTTATAAGTAGCCCAGATCCTCTGGTTCCAAGTTCAGCCCTCTTTCCACTGTAGTACGAGATGTCCTAATTGTTTGCTTTTTGCCTTTCAGGTAGATTTTGTGGTGACAAAGTGCCAGAACCCCTCATCTCCACAGACAGTCGCCTTTGGGTTGAGTTCCGAAGCAGCAGCAACATCCTGGGCAAAGGTTTCTTTGCTGTTTATGAAGGTGTGTGGGAGAGTTGTGTGACTACCTTTCTTTTGCATATCAACTAGTGACCCCACTCTTCCACCTTGTACCTTCCTCCAGCCTTCCAAGTGTGTGTAGCTATGGTTGGGAGCCATTGAGGGTGTGGAGGTGGGACTTAGGGATACCAGTGCTGGTATTGTAAAGGTTGCCTCTGGCGGTCCCTCCTAAGTCCGTCTCCTGTGTCCTGGAAGCAACATAGGCCAGTCATGCTCTCTACAGGACAAACCTTTCTTCCCCCATAAACCAACACTCAGCCACAATTCCAGTCATTTTAGAGAAAATCATTTAAACCCCACACACAAAGTGACCTTGCCTCTGACTCTGTAACCGTGGCTCAGGAACCTCACAGTATCACTGTGGCCTGTCAGCCTCTATTCAACAACTTCTAGTGAACTTCACTTAGGTCATCTTCTGTGTACCTTCTATCTTGAAATGTTTGTGGGTTTGGTTTGGTTTTGTTTGGGGTTTTTTTTGGCAAATATTAAGTTCATAATAAAAGCAACATTTAAATAAAAAAAGTCTCTAGTGAGGATGAGCTCATTATAAGCTTAAAAGTGCACTAAGACTTTTGGGACATGGATACCAAATGGAAATCATGGATACCATTTTACTTCTGTGTAAGCTTTAATTATGTTAGGGATATATTTTCTTACAGCCTGAATTGTCTTCTCTTCAACTTCTACACATTTCTCTTAGATCTGTCCTCCTGATACCAAGCAGAAAAAGACTAATTTATCTTCCTCATGACAGGCCTTCAAATACTTAGAGGTAGAACTTTTCATGCCCTCCTACCCCCAAGGCTTCTTTTTTCAACTACTCTCATTGGTTTTCTCCCTATCTACCCCCCCCCAATTTTTCTTTGGTTTCCTCACCTGTAAAATGAGTGGCAGGGGCAGCTAGGTGGCACTATAATGCACCGAGCGCTGGGTCTGGAGTCCTGAGTTCAAATGTGACCTCAGATACTCATTAGCTGGGTAACCCTCTCTGTGCCTCAGTTTCATCATCTGTAAGATGGGGATAATAATAGCACCTATCCCCCAGATTGTTATGAGGATAAAATGAGATGATATTTGTAAAGTACTTTACAAATATTAAAGGGCCATGTAAATACAAGCTGTTATTATCTAGTCCTATTTCCACATTTGGCAGATGAGACCAGAAAGGGTGTAACCTGTGTGAAGTTGTATTTGTGGAAGAGCAGGAACTAGAATTTATATTTTCCATCTCTAAAATTCTGTGATTCTTGATAATCCCTAGTTTTAGTTATTCTTTAAAAAGATAAACTATTGTTGATGAAATCCTATCCTGGGTGGTCATTTTCCTTGATAGTAAAGAATTCACACCTGCAGTCATGAATCTATATGTTTGCAAGATGCTCCACCTAGTGGTGACAACTGGCTATGATACTATACTGTCAGAGCCGGTCACAGGTGTCTTTGGGGCCAGTGCAGGTGTGTTAGACACCTGTTTGTGGGTAATAGTGCACTGAGCATTGCCCAAAACACCCCTACTCTCACAGGTTCTCTTGGAAAGGTATGTTCCTCACCCATTGCTGTCTTTGTTTCTAAAGCTATATGTGGGGGAGAAATTCACAAAGATGCTGGCCAAATCCAGTCTCCCAATTATCCAGATGACTACAGGCCTTCTAAGGAATGTGTTTGGAAGATCACTGTTTCTGAGGGGTTTCATGTGGGACTGACTTTCCAGGCATTTGAGGTGAGTCATTCTGGAAGCTTTCTGACAAAAAAAGTGAAGCACATTTCATTAGTACATTCATTAAGAATTAGTATATGCAGAAGACATAAATCCAGATTAGATGTGATGTGTGTTTGTATATATAGTGTGTATATATCTATGCATATATATATATATATGTATATATATATATATGTATATATATACATATATATATATATATATATAAACATACATATACATGTGTGCTTTGTATTGTAATTGTCAGAAATCTCTGGTTTTTGAATGTTATTGGAGGGTTAGAATAGATATGACTGGTATAAGAGACTTTTGAGCTGATGAAAGTTGGGGCATCTTTCTTTCCCTGTTTATCGCTTTGTTCAGCCTCTTTTCTCCAAGTTGGGGAAATCATAGCCTCTGAATATGGCAGAATGGTTAACTTCATTGTGGATGTAGGATTTCATAATCCTTCTTTGATTTAATCAAGAGCAGAGAAAGTGGTGTTTCCCACCTTCACCCTCCCTCCCCCAATTAAATCCTAATTCTCAAGAAAAGCCGTAACTAGCAGTTACTGTGTCTGCCTGGGGTAGAGGACACTCAAGTTTCAGACTGGCACACCAGACCCTGAGAGGCCTCTGCTGGAATGATACTCAGGTTGGGAAGAGGGCATGAGAGCCGAGCCTGGCCAGGGAATGGCCTCCCCTGGAGTATAGCTTTCAGCATGCCCCTAGTGCCTTCAGTATGCTGGATGCAACTCTGATCACCCTACCCTAGTTACAGCTCTGTTCCCAGGCCAAGGAGATTAAGGTGCCAGTTATCACCTGCTACTCTCTCTTATGTCCCTTCTTTCAGATTGAACGACATGACAGCTGTGCCTATGACTACCTGGAAATTCGGGACGGTGCCACCGAAGAGAGTGCATCGATCGGTCACTTCTGTGGCTATGAGAAACCAGATGATATCAAATCTAGCTCCAACAAGATGTGGATGAAGTTTGTATCGGATGGCTCTATCAATAAAGCAGGGTTTGCTGCCAATTTTTTTAAGGGTATGAATTATTCCCTACCACTTTTAGTAATGACAGGATTTATTGACCTGTTTCACGTACTTGGTGAACTTCTCTGAAGGCAGCTAAATGAAAGAGGACACTGTAGATGGTCCCTAAAGCATCTTCCAACTCTAATATTCTTTGGTATTTAAGGGAAGAAATGATACCTACCAGGGCCCTTATTTTTATACTGGGCTTTCAAAAGAGATACAAGCCCTGAAAGTTACTGGCAGATCAACAATTAGGACTTCGTCTTGACATTTAAGATACATTATTATGTTCCTCAGCAAAGTTCATGGCTGGTTTTGCATCTCAACCTAAGACACTAGGTCTTTAGTGAACAAGCTCACCACCAGGGAGTGGAATTAGGCCTTGATAGATGCTATGCAGGCCCCTCTCCAATCCTTCCATCTTTTTCCAAGCCTAATTCAGTAACCGTATCCTCTCTTGAGGCAGAGGTCTAGATGGATAGATAGCTAGACAGGCAGATAAATAGATAGATACAAAGATAGATTGAAAGAAAGATATAAAGATGCATAGATAGCTAGACAGATGTAGAGAGAGACAGAAAGAAAGAGAGAGAGAAAATGAGAATGTTTAGTACTCATTATGAGTAAGAAAGGCACTTGGTGAGGAACAGAGACCAGAGCCATCCAACCTTAAATAATTGAATATGAAACTTAATTTAAAAATTTTTAAATTCCTAAGTAAAAATCCAGAGAGGCAGCATGATACAGTGGAAGGGTAACATCTTAAGTCAGAGGACCTGGGTTTGAATCAGCTTTGCTATCTTGGGAAAATATGACCTTGGGAAAATTACTTAACTTCTCGAGGCCTCAGTTTCTTGACCTGTAAAATGAGGGAGTTGAGATAAATGGCCTTCCAGTTCTTGATCTATGATGCTAAGTAGAAATAATTTCCAGTATATTTTGGATGGCAGCCAATGGACATGGCAGAAAAAAGGAGGCCCTGACCACTTTTGCAGAAATGACTGGCTACTCAATCCATATAGTCTTTTCTCTCAGGTCAGAGAGAATGTGGTTGGCATCTCTCAGCACTTAAGAGTCCCTAGTCTGATCTGTAAGTGAAACCAAGGTAATGTCAAGTCACTGACTCCACCTCCTTCCCCAATATGTATAGATGTATTTTTGAGGAGTGGGGATGATAGCAAGCCAGTTTCAATGAACTTACTCTGTGATAATAGGGATGGCCTCAGGACTAGCTGGAACAAAAAAGTGGGCACTTGGTAAGAATGAAATGATAGGTTCTTTTGACCTCTGGAATGGGGATGGGGACAGAGGGGAGCTAGGAAGTCCTTGGTTAATTTTCAAAGTCAAGTTAGTTTTTGATGCTCTTGTCCACTATTTTCCCCCTCTTCTCCCCTTCTTCTGCTTCATGAGGCTCCCTCTACCTCACCTTAAGCCCCATGATCTGCCCAAAGTTACTCACCATGGTAGTTCATCCCTGCAACATCCAATGCTCCAAAATCACCTTGTTCTCTCCTATCAATCAAGGCTACTGTGACCGTAGAACATCTGCTAAGGAAAGACATCTGAGTAATTCACAGTAAGGTATCAATGACTGATCCTCCCCTTCCTCTGCTCCCCACTCCCATGACTCCCCAGAGGTGTTTGCTAATGAGCCCATATAAATATCTAATGGGTAGAATTTCAGGCAGAATTGGGGAGATACTTTGAAGAAGAGTAGACCTAACCTGCACCAGATACATGGAAGAGAAGCTCTAAAAAGGAAGAGAAAGGAAATGGGCTTGCCCAAGAAGGGGGCCCCCCATTTGGTTTCTTTTTCCCACACCAGCTACTTCCTGTGAGGAAGCTGAAGCTTAGCCTTGCCCATTCTGAGCTTTGGCCATCAACAAAGAAGGGGTAAGTACAACAGGAGAGGGGAGGGTGCTTACCCTCCCTTAAGCTGAACATGCCTTGGGATCCCAGTGTCTACCCTTCCCTAATTCCCAGTCCCACCATAGGGTGGATAGGCCTGTCAGCCAGGGAATGTTGGAAAACTTGAGCCTGGGCTACCCTGCCGCAGAAACAGAGAAACCTGGTCAGATCTGTAGGTCTCATTGGGTTATAAATCTAGGAATCTTAATAAAGAGTTCACTAGAGCTTTTTGCTCCAGATTGTTACCCCTAAATCCTCTCTACTCTCTTTCTGTCACCTCACCATCACCCCGTTTCCATTAATTTCTTCTGAGGACTGTACTATGAATTGTGAGACAACCTTATCCACCAGGTCTCTGTTCTGCTAAACCAGTTTTCTAGGAGAACTGGACACAAGCCTAATAAAGCCATCTGGGAGCTCTGCCCCCTTGAGAACTGAGACATTATCTGAGCTCCTGAGCTTCCAGCAAGGCTGTCCCTGGGCATTCAATAAGTGAAGGAGGGGAAGTTGGTCCTTGGGCCTTCCCTTCCCCTTATGCCTCATTATAACACAACACAATTATAACCAAACACCCTATTAAATATGTATTAGATTAACTTTTTCCTATGTTTTATTCAATTATTATGACTTTAAACTCCTCATCTCATGTTTGGCCTTCAAAGTTTCTTGTCCATGCAGCATGGTGTCTGCTTCCACTTTTCAGAAGTTAGAAGCACTGTTGCTTATAGATGGGGGGGGGGGGAGCCAGTTTTCTTGTTCTTATCAGCTAGGATCTTTTTTTAGGCAGAGCCATCTCTGGGCTGTTCTCAGGCCCTTCTCTGGACAGTAGGTGCCAAGAGCATGTGTCAGGTTTCCTTAAGTAAAAAGGATGGGGAGGGTAACTACAAACGCCCTGCAAAGGAGAAGGACCAAGCTGAAACAAAGCAAAACAAAAACCACTCTTGCTTTTATGCCAGTTGGATAGAGACTCAGTGTTTCAGGCCAATTGGCTAAGAACACCAGTACATGTTGCCAACTGGCATTTGAGTCTGTTTGCTGTTGCCAAATGGCAGGTGTTGTCTCAGCGCACTGTCTGATGGTGCCAGGGTGCTTACCAGCAAGTAAAACTCCTCCAATTTCTTGCTGATTTGGGAAATGATAGTAGCATTTGCTGGTTGGCAGTCCCCACCAACTAACATAAGAAAATAGCAACTGCTCTCCTAATACTGAGCCAGGTCCATCCAACTTCATGTCCTGCTACTGATGTGACAACAAGGGTATTTTGCAAAAATGCCTGATTCTTTCCAAGATGTTGCTTCAAAAGACTGCACACTTGCCTGAAACATCTCCAGCTTTCCCATACAACCCATGTAATTAATTGGGAATTGGGGGATTTGGGAATGGTTCCAAATTTCCATACTGATAGCTCCTCTTGGAAACTGGTAGATAAAGCACTAGGCTCCATCCCCATCCCTTACATCCTGTGAATTAAGATTGCATTTCACACTAGGAATTCTCCCTTGCCTTTCTCTGAGGTGCTGTCCCATCCTTACACCTGCACCCAACACATCCTTCTTCCTTGTCTTATCATTGGTGTTATGTGATTGCACCATAACTAGGAAGTTTCTTCTTTCGTTATACACCAGGTGGGCCTTGTTTTCCTGCTTTTGCTGCCAATACCATGGGAATAAAAAGCAGACAGAGATTTCTGTCATTAAAAACTAGGCCCCTAGTTAATTATTATTATTATTGCTATTATTCCTTCCCCAACTTATTCAGAATCACTGAATTTCTTTATTTTTTTAAAGATTCATTAATTTATTTATTTTTAGTTTTCAGCATTCACATCCACAAGATTTTGAGTCCCAAATTTTCTCCCCATCTCATCCCTCCCCCAACCCCAAGGCAATGTGCATTCTGAATACTCTTTCCCCTAATCTTTCCTCCCTTCTATCTCCCCCCCTTCTCTTATCCCCTTCCTCTTCTGTTTTTCTGTAGGGCAGTATAGATTTCTATACCCCATTGCCTGTATATCTTATTTCCCAGTTGCATGTGAAAACAAATTTTTAACATTTGTTTTTAAAACTTTGGGTTCCAAATTTTCTTCCTTCCTCACTCCCCACCCACCCTCATTGAGAAGGCAAGCAACTCGATACAGATTATGCTTATGCAAAACACTTCCATAGTAGTCATGCTGTGGAAAACTAACTATATTTCCCTTCATCCTATCCTGCCCCCCGTTTATTCTATTCTCTCTTTTGACCCTGTCCCTCCTCAGAAGTGTTTGCTTCTGATTACCCCCTCTCCTAATCTGCCCTCCCCTCTATCATCCCCCTGCTCTCTTATCCTCTTCCCCCCCCCCCATTTTCATGTAGGGTAAGATAGCTTTCCATACTTAGTTGAGTGAGAATCACTGAATTTCTAAGATAGATGAGATCAGGCATCATCTAGTCCAACTCGTACCTGACACTCATGGCTTAAAGACCTTCAATGAGGGGGAGACTCATTGCCTCCCAAAGTGATTTCATACATATATATATGTGTGTGTGTGTGTGTGTGTGTGTGTGTGTGTGTGTGTGTGTGTGTGAAGGTTTGTGTGTGTGTGTGTGTGTATGTATGTATATATACACACACACACATTTATTTTTCCTCAATTACATGTTAAAAAACAACTAGTCCAGTTTGGATGGAGGGTAGTGTTCATAAGGACAATAGTGTGATATGTAACTGAAGAATTTGTTGGGAGCCAAATTTTGCATGGCTTTGAATACCAGTATAAATAATTTTGACTTTATTTGGTAGGCGATCTGGAAAAAATTCTTGTTTGAAAAGTGACACAGTCAGAACTCCACATTTGGAAAAGGTATCTGGAAATAGTATGTAGAATAAAATAGAACAGGAGAGATTGGAACCAGGAAGACTAGTTAGAAGGCTACTATGCTCTGACCAGGTAAGGATCATTGAGGGCCTGAATGAGGGTGGTGGAAGTTGGAGTAAAAAGGAGGTGAGAATTGGTAAATGATTAAATGTAAGGATGGTTGCTGATCAGTAATGACTTATGTACTAGTAAGCCGCTCCTTCCTTTTGAAATAAAGTCAATTTCATTTTTTTCCTTCGTGGTAGTTTTCGGTGCTTACTTTTAGAACAAAGCATATATAGGCATGTGGTTTCTGAATGGCATGTGAGTCATCTCCTTTTTCGTTTCTTAGTCTTAGACCTTTAAAAAAATTTTATTATGAATTTAATAGTCAACAAACATTTCAACACATAAAGAACAATAACAGTATCATGTATGAATCTATGAACCTGTTAGTTTTAAAAATATATACATATTAAATTTAACAGGGTAGTAATAAAATTTCCATTTGTTTGTGTCCTCTTCTGAGCTTTTTGATTTCTCCTGAGTATTAAAATTTTTTTATGCTCTTTTCATTTGTTTATTCCTGTTACTACCCACTAATTTCTATCCACCTCCAGTAAAACCTATCCCTTTAACAATCAATATAGTCAAGCAAGTCAAATGTGGCCAAACCTGAAAATGTATGTCTTATTCTACACCTGTAGTTCATTACCTCTCTGCCAAGAGGCAGAGGACAGGCTTTGCCATTGTTCTTCTGGAGTCATGACTGGTCAGTGCATTGGCCAGAGTCCTGAGGTCTTTCAGAGTGGTTTTCTTTCACATCCTAGTAGTCCTTGTATAAATTACTGAACCATGTTTTCTAACGTATTTTAATCATTCCTTTCCTCTACCTACTGTTGCACTGAGGTATATTTTGACTTAGTTGGGATGACCATGTAGAATTCTTCAAAGACTTTCTCTCTGTTTATTCTTCACAGAATTTCTCTGTGTTGTTCTAAAATGTGTTTATTTATTTTGCCTCATTCTCTACAACAGATGTGGGCACATAAGCTGCAATTATCTTCCTGGTGGTGTTTTTGCTTAGGCTCACCATGAACCCAGCAAGACAAGATGACCGAGTGCCCTCCATGAAATGCCTCTTGTTGCCTCTGGGTACACAATGAAACCAACTCTTCTAGTTCCTTAATTTGCTTTTCTGAGGAGAACCCAGGAGCCATCTTTCCACTTAGATACAGCTTTCTCATATTCCCCAACTTCGTTAATAGCAAGAATGCTAATATGAATATTGTTCAGTTCTTCTAGTAGGCTTTCAACTTAGTGGTAGTCAGTTGGATACAATAATCATTTCTTAAGTGCTTAGTATGTTCCAGATGCTGCTGTGATAGAGAACCATTGAGGGGAGGGGGACATGACTAGAAGTATGCTTTTGGAAAAAAAAATCACCTTGGCCAGGTTAGAGGTTAGATACTTGAGGCAAGGATACTGGTTTTGCAGTAGTGTGGGGGTGGGAGGTGATGGGGGCTTGAAGCAGGGTAGTGGCTTTGTGAGGGAGAAAAACATGTCTGTGTGTCTCTGTAGAGAGATGGAGAAAGAGGGAGAGACAGAATATGTTGTGAAGACAGAATGACATGATTTGCCAAAGTATTGACTATGTGGGGTGAAACAGTGAAGAGTTGATGACACTGAGATCCCCAGTCTGGGTGTATGAGCAGAGTAAGAATGGCAGTTGTAGTTAGTTAGATAAAAATCTCACACTTAGAGTGTGGATAGTTTAATTTAAGTTTACAAATGATCTGAAAACTGTGATCTTTTTTTTAGCACCTTTTCCACTCCTCTGCTCCTGCAGAAGACAGGCTTACTGGAATGAGAGCCATTTAAATTTTTTCTGCAACTGCCATGGCCAATAAATCTGTACTTAGCTAGTCTGATCCTGGGGCGGCAGGTGCAGTCTGTCAGTGAGGCAAGTACTTGATGTCTTCTCGGCTTAGTCGTACCTGTCAGGGTTCGCAGTCCACTGGCCTAGACTTTGAGCACCTGACATCATTGCTGTATTATGAAAAGGCATTGGAGTATGACTTTAATAGAAATTACTTATTGAAAATTTAGATCAAACCTAGAGGGATGATGGGGACTGGATAGTGGTGCACTGATAAATGTTTAACAATTCCCCCCCACACATACGCAGGTCATGTTTTCTTCAGCAATCAGTAGTTTGATGGCTTTGTGATCTGATCAGTTTAGGTACCCCTTCCAATGATAAGGCTTGCAACCCATCTGCTCAAGCTGTCTATTTTCATGTGTTCCCATCAGGTCTCCAAGAGGGAGCCATTCAATGATTTGAGGGCCTTCTTCTAGTTCTCTTGGTTTGTTGGTTTGCTTTTGGATCCCAGTAGTACACAGGGACCGTCAGATATTATTTTTATCTTTATATGACTGGCCCATATGATTTTCTAGTTATAAAACTCTCCAATGCCATTCTTTATATCACGTCCCTAATTGAAGCTGCTTAATTTTAACTTTTAGGAGACTGTGACTCATAGCCATAAGGTATCAACGTAGATAGGGTTGTAGATGTCGAGCTAAAGGGCCCTCAGAAACCTAATAATAATAATAGTTAGCATTTACATAGTACTTTCTATGTGCCAGGAACTATGCTAAGCACTTCACAAATATTATCTCATTTGATCCTCACAAGAAACTTGAGAGGTAGGTACTGTTATTATCTTCATTTTACGGTTGAAGGAACTGAGGCAAACAAAGGTTGAGTGACTTGTCACAGCTAGTAATTATTTGTGACTAGATTTAACCCAGTTCTTTCTGACTCCAAGGCCAGCTCTATCCACTGGACCACCAAACTGCTTCTTCTGGCTCAGGGAAGTTAAGTCAACAAGCATTCATTTATTAAGCACTGATTGTATGATAGGTGCTGTCCTATTGAATGAATGGTTGAAGGTGACCTAGGTAGTAAATTGTCAGAGACAGAAGAATATTGATGTTAAAGGGAGAAATTTTGGATTCTTAAAAGAACTGTCCAATTTCCCAAAAATAAATGCAGGCTGCTTGTCTCCTCTTTCAATTCCAGACCCAACTCGTCCATTTGTACTGTCTATTCAAGATACCTGTATCTATCTCTTCTCTATTAATGGATGAATTCTATGGATTCAGTGATGCTACCTCTTATAATGGTTTCCAAAAGGGAAACTGGTAACATAGTTCTTGGGATTTCCCTTGAACTTTTCTTATTAGTGAAATTAATCTTAGTGATGCCCCATTGGTACTTGCTTCTGTGCTGCACTGGATGTGGACAAATATACAGAGCAAGGTCGATTAAGTTGGTGGATATGTAATGATAAATTACCTTGTTCTCCTAACAGAAGTTGATGAATGTTCCTGGCCAGATAAGAATGGGTGTGAACAGCGCTGCATGAACACACTGGGCAGCTACAAATGTGCTTGTGATCCTGGTTATGAACTGACGGCTGATAAGAAGACTTGTGAAGGTCAGTGGCTGGTAAAACTGTAATAGGAAGATGTTGAGGACAGAGGTATGGAGATGTTTAGTAGAAGTGTTCATTCTTCAATGGGAAGTTTTTTTAAAAAAATATTTTTAACATTTAAGAAAATTTTCCAAATTCCCTCCCCTGCACCCATTGAGAATGTAAGCAATATATCAATTATGTGAAATCATTTCCACATTAGCCATGTTGCAAAAGAAAGAAAGCAAGAAAAATAAAGTGAAAAATTATATTTCAATTTGTGCTTAAAGTTCATCAGATATCTCTGTGGAGGTGGATAGCATTTTTCATCATGAGTCCTTTGGAATTGTCTTGGATCATTTTATCAATCAGAGTAGTTAAGTCTTTAATAGTCGATTATTGTCACAATATTGTTCATGTACAATGATCTCCTAGTTCTGCTCACTTCATTGGGCATCAGTTCATATTGATCTTCCCAGATTTTTCTAAAACCATCCCCCTTGTTATTTCTTATAGCACTATAGTATTCCATCATAATCATATCCTGGAACTTGTTCGGTCATTCCCCAATTGATGAGCATCCTTTCAATTTCCGATTCTTTGCCATCACAAAAAGAGATGCTATGAATATTTTTGTACATATATACGTGTGTATATATATCTATATCTATATCTATATATATATGTCTATATATATATAGATATAGATATATATATAAAATGTCCTTTTCCTTTTTATTTGATCTCCTTGGAATACAGACCTAGTAGTGGTGTTGCTGGGTCAAAGGGTATGCATGGTCTTATAAACCTTAACTCAATTCTCATAGACCTAGCATGGCCTGTTCTGTATGCCAAGAGCATGATGCCACAATACTGTGTTCTTGTGGCTCTAGATATTATTAAATGACTTTCTCTATTCCAGAATTTTCTCTACCTTTCTATAACTCCTCCCTTCTCCTCCCCTCCCCAATTTTGGCATTACTCACAGGACCTCTGTAGATCTAGCTACACTCTTCTAATCCCAAGTTTTAGGTCCACACTTAGCCCTCTGATTGAATGTTGGGTTTGTTGGTGCTCCAACTATATTACTACATGACCACTTCTCCTTCTTCTTCCTTTCCTCCCCCCAATAAGCAAACAAAGAGATACAAAGGGGCCGAGAGGACAATGTTTCCAACGTCTCAAAAACACAGATGTTTTGGCCAGATACACACTTAGTCCATGTTTTATGCAAACTTATGCTCAAAAATCAGAATTCCACCAGGTTAACCCCAAACTTCCCAAGTGATAATCCTTTCTGTCTAGACTATTGTGTTAAAGAAGGAATAATCTTTTTCTTTGTCACCCCAGAAGGCAGGACTGGTCTGCCTAGGTGGAAGTTATAAGGATTTGTATCTTCCCTCAATGACATAACAAAGTTCCTAATGGTTAGAACCATCCAACAATGGACACATCCCTCCCAATTACCTTCTACCCCAGTGAGATAATAACAATAATAGCTGACATTTGTACAGTAATTTAGTGTTTGTCAAGCATTTAATATACCTCAATGTTATATAGTAGAAAGGATACTAACTATGGAATCAGAGTACCTGGGTTCAAATCCCATCTCTGACAGCTACTACCTATGTGATCTTAAATTTCTCTGGATCTTGGCTTCCTCACCTATAAAATGAAGGGGTTCTATTAGAGGGTCTCTGAGGTCCCTTCCAACTCTAACCCAAGGGTCCTATGTCCTTATTTGGTCCTCAGTAAGGCAGATGCTCTTAGTATCCGTCTCTTACAGATGAGGCAACCTAGATTCAGAAGATTTACTTGACTTGCCCCACAGCACACAGCTAGGAAGTGCGTGAGGTGGGATTCCAACTTAGACCTTCCCGGCTGCGAGTGTGGCTCTCTATCCACTATGCCATGTGGCTATAATCCATGGCTTGGGAGCCATGGGCTTTCTTCAAGAATTTCAAAAAATGGTAAATAAAATTTTTAAATGTGAACATCCAAAGAGGAGTTGGGGAGGGGTTAGATGAACCAGATTCAGATGACTCAACATTTGTTTTCCCTGAAGAACATGGAGAATGCCAACAGTCACTTGGAACATACGACTCAATGACAAATGTATTTGCTTTTCACCTCTGCAGTGGCTTGTGGTGGCTTCATGACCAAGCTTAATGGGACCATTACCAGCCCCGGATGGCCTAAAGAATACCCCACAAACAAAAACTGCGTGTGGCAAGTGGTGGCGCCAAGCCAGTACAGGATCTCCCTCCAGTTTGAAGTGTTTGAGCTGGAAGGCAATGATGTAAGTTCCTTCACTTTGAGCTGCTGGTGAATTATCCAAAGACCCAGAGCCAAAGCAGTCCCTGACATAGTTACAGGCAGGGAGTGATTCTTCCTTGGGATCCAGCAGAGAGGTCCTGTTGAGTTTTTTTGACATTGGGATCTGGATTTCATTGCATTCTCTTAGGATGACTCTTGTCATCCACATACTCCCTCACTATGAGTTCTCTTGACTGGTTTTTAGTGCACCACTAGTGCAGGGAAACTCTTAAGTAGAAAATCAGCGAAGGAATATAGGAGACAAGACATTGCCCAAAGGAGAGAACAAGTACACTGGGGCCCAGCATTGCATGGGGTAGGTGTTCTGTGAAAGAAGGAGGACTCTAACTCCAGCATGTGGACTCTGGCATCCAGATGTGAGAAGGAATGGAAAGAATGAGCTTTACCTTAGCTGGAATAATATCTTGCACATATCTTCTGGTCGTACATTTTGAATCAGAGGAGACCCCAGGAGCCGTGTAATCCTACCCAGAAATGTTAAGTGATTTGCCCATAGTCACAGAAACAAAGAGTAACAGATCTGAGATTCAAACTCAGGTCTCCTGTGGTACTCCAAATCCACCTTTCTTTTGCTTTTTTTCCCCAGTTGAATTATTAACATTCAAGAAAGACACAAGACTTCAACCTCTTAGGACACAGGCCAGAGTAAAAGGTGGGGTTAATACTTGTCCTGTAGCCAGAGGGCTGAGCACAATGAGTAGGCATTGACCAGATTTCCATGTCCAAGATGACTTCAGGACTCCCTACAGAGCTGAACAGGAAGTCAGACTTGTGTTCAGATTTCTGCTCTGCTGCTGAGAGAATCAGAGATTTGGAACTCGAGGTCACCTTAGGGGTCATCTAGTCTACCACTCACTCTCTTAATTTACGAATGAAAAAGCTGAGACCCAACAAGGTTAAGTTTGCCCGAGGTCACACAGAGGTCAAATGGCAGAACTGGGATTTGAACCCAGGTCCTCTGATTCCCAAATCCAGTGCTCTTTCCACTGTACACAATTCCATCTCTTTATTTTCTTTTTGATTTTTTAAAATAAATTTATTAATTTATTTTTCCTTTTCAACATTCACTTACATAAAATTTTGAGTTCCAAATTTTCTCCCCATCTCTCTTTTCCTCCCACCCCAAGAGAGCGTGCAATTTGATATAGGCTCTACATATACATTCATATTGAACCTATTTTCACATTAGTCATGTTGTAAAGAATTACAGCCAACGGGAGAAACCACGAAAAAGAAGAAACAAACAAAAAAGGAAAAGAAAAAAGAGAGCAAATAGTATGCTTTGATCTACATTCAGACTCCATAGTTCTTTTTCTGAATGTGGACAGCATTTTCCATCATGAGTCCTTTGGAGTTGTCTTGGATCCTTGCATACAATTCCATTTCTAAGGTTTTTTCTGCCTCTAATCTTATGGTCCTGCTTCTGCCCATCTCCATGTGTCAAATGAAGAAGCTGAAGTAATTGGTCATTAAAATCTCTTCTAGCTCTGAATTCTCTGGTCTCTTGGCAGTGAGGAATCCTATAACCAAGAAAGCTGCATTAACTACTGAGGCATGCCTCTAATCAGACATGTGACTCCTTCACAGTGCCTTGCACATGGCAGTGTGATAGGACAATTTCTGGCTTAACTTTCTTAGTACCATTTACTTAAGATAAGCCTGTCACATAGTTAGCTAGAGTCTGCAAAATCCAGCTTGAGGTATCAGCTCCAGGTCCAACGTTAACTGTCTAGTTTCCTGTTTTACCTGATAAGGATCTTCCCCTTCTGCCATCTGTTCTTTGGTCTGTGAGTCGTTATTGTTCTTTGTAATTCCACTGTGCTCATCCTTCGTATGTAACCAAAACCTATATATGATTGCTGAAATTGAGCTCTGGACTCACTGATTTTTTTGTTCAGTGATCTGGCATTCTGCAGTAATATACTGCAGTCTTCCTGTAGCTTGATGTCGTTGATTGTACGATTAGCAGCAGTGCCAATGGACAGATCCTTGGCCACTGTTTGGCACTTAATGTCTATTGCATTGAATTGGATTCCATGGACAAATATTTGGGACTGCCCAATAAAATGATGATAAAAATGATGACAAGCTCTTCTGGCAGAGAGATCAGAGATCCCACCATCACGTGCATTTTAGTTAGAGAATTCATGTCAGAACACATATCATTCATTACTGTGATGCCTGAGGCTGTTAGAGCCCAGTCAAGCAGCTAGGTTTGGATATTTCAGGCAGAGGTAATTTGGCTTCAGGATACCTTGCCTGAAGACTTCCCTGAACTTTCATTATGAGGTGGAGGGACCCCTGGGTTCTCAAAGGCAGTACCAGGGTTCTTGTAGGGTCCTACCTAATTTGCAGTTCAAGAATTTGCCCAGCTAATTTCAGAGAAGCTGGGCCCTAAGGAATAACACAGGGCTTTTATTTGCTTCTTTTTGCTGTGGCAACTCATGATGAAGGTCTACTAAGGTGTGGAAGGGCTGCAATCTGTGTTGGTGAAAGGAACAGCAGTAGAGAGTAGGTGAGAGTGGTCAGAAGTATCTCTCTCCTCTCTTGCAGGTTTGTAAATATGATTATGTGGAGATCCGAAGTGGGTTGTCCTCTGACTCCAAGCTTCATGGAAAGTTTTGTGGCTCCTGAGAAACCAGAGGTGATTACCTCCCAAAGCAACAACATGAGAGTGGAGTTCAAATCAGACAACACTGTTTCTAAACGTGGCTTCAAAGCCCACTTCTTCTCAGGTATGTGGCTGTTTCAGAGATAGGGATTCTACTCCTAAGAATACAGGAAGTTTTAGATAAGAAGGGGGTGGGGGAGGGAACTCCAGATAAGGAAACTTCATGAGCAAAGACATGGAGGTGGGAATGAGCATGTTATACTGGTCGGACAGTAAGACAGCTATATTCCTATGTTGAGTAATACAAAATGAGGTGTGATAGGTGGGGTGGGGCTAGAATGCCAAACTCAAGCAACGTATCAATCGAGAAGCAATTATAGGTTCTTACTATGTGCCTAGCACTATGCTAAATGCTGGAGATACAAAGAAGAAATGAAAACAGTCCCTATTCTCAGGGAGTTGACATTTTAATAGGGAAAACAACGTGCTTTATAGACTCATAGAATCATAGATTTAGAGTTGCAGGGGTAGAGGGGGATGGGTTTGTGTAACAGACAATCATAAGCAATGATAGGTTCTTGGGTAGGGAATGGTATGGTAGAAGTAGTGTTTTAGGAAAACTAGTCTGGTGGAGCTGTTGGAGGAGAGGAGGTGGGAGAATCTGGTATTGAGGAAAAGCACAGCTGGGTAGAAGGAGAGAAAATATTGGCACTTGAATGGGCTTTCTAGTTTCTGAAGGCCAAGGATGAGTGGCAGGGGTTGGTCAATCAGTGAACAATCCTAAGCAGAGATTCAAGGGTGGTAGGGGATACAACCCTACCACTACAGATTATCATCAGATTAGTAACCTATTGAAAAGCTTTAAAAATTCTTTGAATGGGTGTGGGGGATATGGTGGTCCATGAGTGTAGGTGTGGAAGCTTGCATACATGTCAGATTTTTTTTTTAATGTATTGATTAGTTTTGCTAATTTTTTTTCTGTTCCTCTTTTTATTCTTTAAAAAAAACCCAAAACTTTGTTGTGTGGGATGGTATTTTTGGAAAGAGAAGGGAAAGAATCCAGAGCGAAATTCAGGCTATGTAAAAAATAAAAGAGATCAATGAAAATCTATCTTAAAAAGAAATTCTTGAAACTTACACAAACAAGTACAAATGAACATGATACAAATACATATTGAGTATACATTGAACAAAGGAAGGAGATAAAGTAATAAATAGGGCCTGTTGAGAGTAACCAGGGTAGACTTTCTGGAGGATATCAGTTTCGAATAGAGTTTTAAAAAGTTTGGGATGGTTCATAAATGGGCAGTTCAGTCTCATTCTCCTCTTGGAAATGCACACTTTCCTCTCCAGACAAGGATGAATGCTCTAAGGACAATGGTGGGTGTCAACATGAATGCATCAACACATTTGGAAGCTATGTTTGCCAGTGTAAAAATGGGTTTGTGCTACATGAGAATGGCCATGACTGCAAAGAAGGTGAGTTCTCTTACCATTTCTTTTTTTTTTTTTGCATTTTTTTGATTTTTTTCAATTAACAAGCATTTGTTTTCTCCTCCTATATATATAATTAAGATCATCATCCACCTAAATTAAATGCCATATGGAGATAGGAAAGGGTATCTAGAACTTCCGTAGCTACTGTAGATTCTGAAGGTTCTCCATGGAACAGATCTAGAGAGGGGAGAACAAGGAGAAATGAAATCTTTACCAGAAAGTCCTCTTCCAGGATTAGGGTCAATGGAGGACCCAGAAAGAAGAAACAGAAAAGGGTTCAGAGTCATTATAACTGTTCCATCTATCACTATAGTCATTGCCAATGAGTGCCATTTAAGTTCCAATTAACAGAGACAAATCAAAGGAAGGGGATAGTCAAATGAGTATGCCCATCACATCTTCTTTTCCAAATGCAGGCTACTACTAAAGCTATGAGCAGGCTTTAGCCACCAAGGTTGGAATGCCAGCTTTGAGACTTAAGAGTTGGAGTCCAATGCTAATGTAGAGAGATGGAGCACTGGATCAAACATACAGATTCTTCATTGACTGTTCACTATTCATTCCCATACGTGGTTGGTAAGGTGTGTGCACCATAAAATCTGCCTAAGTCACACTCTTTGCTCAAACTCAAGGCTTAACACTTAAAATTGCTTAAGTTATTACTGGTTTTTATAAATTGTGCTATGGTGACTAATAATAAATAATAATAATAAATAATAATAACAATAATAATACCAGCAACTGACATTTACCTGGCACTTTTAAGGCCTGCAAAGTACTTAATAGATATAATCTGCTGCAGCTTCACTCCCCTACCCTATTAGGATCAGGCATGAGAATGTAGATAAGATGGTATTCCTGTCACTGCCATATTCATTGCATGAGGGGAAGAAAGTCTTAAAGTCTCCTCTTAAACCAAAGATCATCTTCCTCTTGAGATATTCTTTAAAAAGGAAAAAAAAAACAGAAAAAGTAAGGGCAACAGAGCTCATCTGGAAAAAAAGAGTAAGTCAAAGAAAGGTTAGGGGATCTGCAACATACGTGATGGAAGATATATCAAAATATTTTTTAAAATTGGATAATAAATGCAGTAAAGGATTTAAGGAAAGGTTCTAATTCTTAAAAAAAATAACAAAGGAAGACTAAAAGGAGTAATTTACAAAAATGCAAAACAAAGAATGAAAAGCTTCAATGGAAAAAGTGAAGGTCGGAGGAAGAGTAATTGCATAAATATTGGTGAGTAATAATAGAGGGCATTCATATAATTCTTTAAAGTTTTCAAAGTGCTTTATATACATTATTTCATCCTCATAACAATCCTGTGAGGTAAGGACTACAGGTATTATTACCCCCATTTTACAGGTGAGGTACAGAGAGGTTAAATGACTTGTTTATACTCACACAGCCAGTAAATGTCAGAGGCTATATTAGAAATCAAGTTTCTCCTGATTTAAGTTAATGATCTCTCAACTATGCCATGTTGCCTTTTCAAAACAACAATAAAAGAACAAGCCCATAATATCATAGAATTTAAAAAATTAATTCATGACAATATAGAATCGAATTGTAGACCTAAAATTAGATAGAGGAATTCAAGCATCAGATTAATTGGGATCCCAGAGAGAACAAGAAAAAATACTTCATGTTGGAAGAAATAATCAAGGGAAAAGTTTTGAAGAATGCACAAGAAGAGATATCAATCCATGAGTGGAGAAAATTCATATGACCTCATCATAGAAAAATCCAAAACCCAAGCCTCTAAGAGGCATAATTTTAAATTTCAAAATGATAAAGAAAAAAGAAAGAAAAAAAAGAACTCATATATGATAAAGTACAAATTAGAATGTCCTCAGATTTTTAAATATATATATATATATTTAATTAAATATTTACCAACCACATTAATATTTTTTAACATTAATTTTAAAAAAATTTGAGCTCCAATTCTCTCCCTCCCTTCCACCCCTACTACATCCCGTGCTCCCATATTTTTAAGCAATCATACAAGGAAGAATGTATTTAGTTTTTTTTTAAAGGACATATATATAAAAAGATCAGATTAGATGGAACCAAGAATTACTAATCACATACACTTAAATATTTTATTTGAAACAGAACACTTAAATATTAAATATACCTCAAAGAAGTATTGAAAAAAACATTCAATGACAAAAAAACTTACAGAAGTTGAAGGAAGCTTCATGTTATCAAGTCAAAAAGTTATCAAAGATAATAGTAGGATTATGTAAACCTATCATTACCTCTAGTTAAGAATATAAAACTATGTAATCTTTTGCACATTAAATGGGAACAAGTAAGAATTTGAGATAAAATGTGTATTATTATTAATGAAAAATAAAATTTAAAATATCCTTAAAGTTATAAATTAGAAGACATTTAAGTGGAATAAAAAGCAATAGAAAAGAAAAGAGAAGAAAAAGAGAGAAATGGATGATTCCCAAAGGACAACTCCTAACTTTAACTAAAAGTCAGTCAAGTCTCCAGGAATCACACATAGCTAATAGCTTAAAAATAAAATGTTAATTAACTAGTTCAAAATTATTAATAATTTAAAGCATTAATTAATTTAAAAGTAGAAATAATTATGGGAAAATAAGATGGATTTACAACCTAGATTATAGAAAAATGAGACAGATTTACAACTTAAATAATATTAAGAACAAAACTCGAAAAAAATATTGGAAGATCAATTCAATTTGGTAAACATTTATTAAGTGCTTATTATATTCAAGGCATTGTTCCAATGATACTTTTTTATTTCACATTGTTCCAGGGATGCAAACAAAATAAATGACACTTTTTTATTTCAGAGAAATTATACTCTTACATTCTAAGTAGAATTTAATATAGATATTAAATATAAAGTACCTGAATTCACCTATTAAAAGGAAAAGAATTGCAACTTGAATTAAAAACAAAATCTATCAATATGTTGTTTACGAGAAACACATTTAATACAGAAAGATATAGCTTAATATTAAAAGATTTGTGTAAACGAGTTCATGAAATTGCTCATTCAGAAAAAGTAGGAGTGGTCATATTGATATCAGAAAAAGTTTAATTTAAACCAGAAAGCATCAAGACAGAGGTTAAGTGTGTCATATAATGTTAAGATTAACTTTAAATAAAGAGTACGTAAGTATGTTTAATTTATACACACCCAAGGTTTTGGTAGTTAAATAAAAATTAATAATGCTATAAGAGGAAAAAGAAAAAAAATAGGAAACTACAATGTTATTAAGATATGATAAATGCAACAAATAATATAAAATAAATAATAGTTGTGGAGTGTTTGATAAGCTGGAATTAATTTATCTATGGAGAGAAATAAATGAATGAAACAGCAAATACACCTTTTTTTTTTTCAAGTGCACATGGAACTCTCAAAATCTATCATATACATGGATATAAAAAAGCTCTGAAAAATTCTTACATGTGGGTTAGTTTTATTACTGCCTTTCATTCCTGAGAAGAATGATCTTACAGAGCACTCCAATTCAACAAACATTTATTATCAATTGTTTGGAAGGTGAGAGTTAGTATTGTATAATAAATAGCTAGCCTGAGAGTCAGGAAAACCTGGAGTTGAGTCCCAACACTGACTCATACAAGCTATGTGACCCTACACAAGTGACTGAAACTCTGTGCCTCTCAAGATATTCTATTATAACTTACAGAATAATTGTGAATCTGCATTGGCAGAAGGAATTAACTCATTGGACTTCCAGCCCTCCCACTTCAATGAAATCACAGGTTCAGAACAAAAATAAAATTTTAATCTTACTAATACAAATTCAATCATCTTTCAGATACCACTTTACATATAAACACAATATAAAACAGAATATGATAAATACATAGGAGAGACAAACACAAAGTACAATGAGAAATCCTGGGAGGAAGAAATTAAAAAGAGGATGAATCTTGCAGGAAATCATCTTTGTATCAGTCGGTGCTTTCCTTGAACTGATTATGTCCCTTTTTTCTAGCTGGCTGTGAGCACAAGATAAACAGTGCCGAAGGAATGATGGCCAGTCCCAACTGGCCTGATAAATATCCCAGCCGAAAAGAGTGTACATGGAATATTTCCTCCACTCCTGGTCATCGGGTAAAAATTGTGAGTTGCTTCTATTGTTTGGAAAATACCAACCAGAGAAATCTGCTGTTTTATTTGAAGTGAAATTTTTATGTCAAGCGCATGGTTTAAGTCCTATGAGTAGCATTCTCTAAGCTACACACCAAGAAAGTGTGGTGATTGGAAGTATGAAAGCTAGGATTGAAGATAGTTCTGGAATCAAGTGCTGGCTTTGCCACATACTTTATGATTCTTTTCCTCTTTGCTACATCTATGCATTCTTTTGAATCATTCACGTAAAATAAGTCTCATATTGCCAACTCATCTGTTTTAATACTTCTAAATATTAAAAAAAAAACCCTCTTCTGATCCTCAGGATTAGCAGAATGTCAAGGAGGAGGATGGGTGTCTCTGAGAATTTTATTCTCGTAATAGTGAATGTTTATATAGCACTTATTATGTGCTAGGCACTATACTAAGCACTTTACACATATTATCTCATTTGATCCTCACAATAACCCTGGGAGGTAGGTGCTGTTATTATCTCCATTTTACAGTTGAAAAAACTGAGGCAAACAGGGGTTAAGTGACTTGACCAGGGTCATACAACTGATAAGTATCTGAAGCTGGATTTGAACTCAGGTCTTCCTAACTCTAAACCCAGTGCTCTATCCATTGTGCCCCACAACTACCTCTAAATGGAGGAGAAACAAGGAAAAAGAACAGGAACAAGAAATGACATTGGGTAGAGGGGGGATAATCTTTACAACTATAACATTGATATCAGTGACTTATTATCCTTGTAGGACAGGTAGAGAGGGATGTAGAAAGGGATAGGCAATTCTGTAGGACTGAAAGTTCCTTATCCAGAATAGTAATAAGAATGTCTCAAGTCTGTATAGCATTTTATAGTTTTCAAAACACTTTCATTTGCATTATCTTATTTGATCCTATCAATAACCCTGGGAAGTAACAGAACAGGTAATCCTCTCCATTTTACAGATGAGGAAACTGAGAGCCATCATGTCACAACTTGTTGGATTCTCTTTCTCTCAGGACAGGTTTCCCCAGTGAGTTCATTCCAAAGAAGCAGACCATTGTCTATCCAGGAATAGGCCCATAATAGTCACTGAATATTGTCTTAGCCTGAGGAAATATTATTGATTTTGAGGCCTTGTCTCTGCCATGGTGATGACACACTTTCCCATACTTAGAGTGTTGTTGCTGTGTTTTTTGGGAAAACACTTAGTGTTTAATAGGTTCTCATTTGCATGTGATTTGCCCTTTCCTTCTTTTTCTACCCCACCACAAAATCCTCTGGCATTCAAAGCCCTTCATAACCTAATCTTTTCTCCCCCATACCTCTCCAGTCTTCTTTCACCTTATTCCTCACTATGTTTTCTTCCATCCAGTGATGCTGGCCTCCTGGCTGTTCCATAAACAAGACACTCCATCTCTTGGCTCTGGGCATTGTCTCTGGCTGTCCCCCATGACTGGAATGCTCTCTCTGCCCATCTCTGCCCACCACCTTCCTTTAAGTACCAACTAAAACCCTATGTTCTATAGGAAGCCTTTCCCAATTCCTCTTAATTCTAGTGCTTTCCCTCTCTTAATTATTCCCCATTTATCCTATATCTAGCTTGCTTTGTATATTTTTATTTGTATGTTAGATTGTAAGCTCCTCTTTTGGTATCCCCAGCACTTAGCATAGTGCCTGGCACATAGTAAGTACATAGTAAACGCTATTTGACTGCGGTAGGAATCTAACAGCTTGAAGAATCCTTAATAGCCTTGTCCATAATATCGGTGAGAATAGGTTTTATAGACCTGGAGTCTGGAAACCTGGGCTCAAATCCCCCTGCAACACTCACTAGCTGTTGGGATCACGGGTGAGTCATTGAACCACTCAGAGATTTCCTTCAGTGTAAAGTGGGAATAATAACATTTAACACTGCCTACCTTGTTATGAAGAGAGCACTTGGCAAACTTTAAAGCACCATATAATAATAATGATGATGAATAAAAATATATAATGAAATAATTAAAAATAAATGAATAAACATCACTACAAAGTGTGTTCCTCATAATAACCCTCTGAGGTAAGTGGTACAAATGTTACTGTTCTGATTTTTAAAAATTAGATGAAGAAGCTCAGCACAGAGAACAACAGGTTTTTCAAGGGCTTTTAGATGTCAGCTGTAGGATCTGAACCCTGGTTACTCCTGACTCCAAGTCCAACACCCTATGCCATATTGGATTTTGGGGCAGATGGACCAGAAGGAAGACAGAGGAGTTGTAGTGGCTTTCCCACGTTCTCCTTAGAAGGTTTAAAGAAATGGATATGTGCTAGCTAAACATAATCAGCCTTCAAGTACTGTTGTTCCCTTTGGACAAAGGCCCTTGATGGAGGGAGATTGATGTTAGCAGATCAACGTGATGTAGGTGGGGCCATCAGGGTAGTCATGACTTGGTGGTGAGGGGCCAGAAGGAAGCATGACGTTGTATGAGGCCGCAGGGTGGCAGGAAGCGTGTCCTAGGTTCGGAGTCACATATTGGCATTTTAGGAGTCCTGAGATCCAAGGGCTAGAGGACATAAAATCAGGCAAGAGTCCAGGGCATCAGGCATTATTATTATTGTTGTTGTTGTTATTATTATTATTATTATTATTATTATTGATGATGATGATGATGATGATAGTGATATTTGATTTTTATAGCACTTTAAAGTTTGCAAACCACCTAACATACATTATTACTTCACTTGATCCTTGTAACAATCTGGTGGTATAGGTGCTGTTATTACTCCATTTTATAGAGGAGGAAAATGAAGTTGAGAGAGGCTGTGACTCACCCATGGTCATACAACTAGTAAGAGTCAAAAGTAGAATTCAAGCCCAAGTCTTAGAGCCTTTCCACCATATGGACTTGGAGTTATAGATGGATTTAGAGCCATAGAAACTGGCATTTCTCAGTTTCACTTGATGAGTATAGCCTATGTGCTAGCTAGGAATATTTGGAGGGTTGATAATTGTAGCCCCCCACCTTGGACTTCTGCATAAGCTTCTACTATGGACAGTTCCCTGTTGATGCTAGACAGGGAAAGAGCTGAGCTGCTTCTCAGAGGCCTCAGCATGTAGTCACTAGTTTGCTAAAACCTATAATCTGAATTAAAATGATCTGCAGGAGGATAGAATTTAAGAAATTTCCTTGTGTCTTTTTTTAGCTAGTCTCCTGTGAATGGATCTAACCCTCAGATCATTCTGAAGTCCACAAACATGAGGGGATAAATGGGATTCTTTTTGAGTTATGATTGGACTAGGTAGCTACTAAAGTCCCTTCCAGTGCTGAAATACTGTGATTCTGTGACTCTACAGATGTTTTTCCATTACTGAAATTCATTGAGTGCCCCCACTGTTTTATCTCTACTAGGTATGTGTGGAAACTGGCCTTCTCTTCTGCTAACCAAGATCAGAGGTCCTGGATAACCACCTTCCTGTTTCCCTTTTCTACCTTCTCCTCTTCCCCCTGTTTCTTCATTTGACATTCCTTGACTTCCCACCCTGACCTGCTCCTTTCCCCATCCTCTAGCCTTATTGTTTCTCCTAGCCACACTGATCAGTCTCCTACTGCTCCTTGGTCTGAATGCTTCCTCTATCATCTCTCTATTCCTTTGTCAGTGGCTACTCCTTTCTTTTCCTCCCTTACTATACCTCTGATTCCCAGTTCTCTCCCTATGCCTCTTCAATCTAATATACTCTATATCACCTCCCATCTTCATCGTGGACCGTGTCCTGTAGGTCCCACAGACAGCGTTTGTTAGCATATCTTGGAGGACAACCTGTAGCAATTTGCCTGGTGTCTGTTATGTAACCTGATTTTTTTATGCTTCTTGAGGAGGGCAGTAGGGGAAAAGAGTGACTCATCTATCTTGTTAAATTTGTCTAGTAGCCTATAGCAGGAGGGATTTTCTTTTTCTGCTTCTGGAAGGTAATCTGTCACTCTGGGATATAAGCTTTGGGGGACTATCCATTGAAAGAGAACAGTAGTGTTGTATTGTGGTATAATCTCCTTGGAGGCAGGGATTGGTCATTTATATCTTTCTATTCCCAGTGCCTAGCATGGTGCCTGACATACTGCAACTGTTTAATAAATGGCTATTCATTCCTCTCTTGCTTGTTTCTTACCACTCTGTCTAAACTGAATGACCCATGGAGATGAGCTACTTACCCAAAATAAGTTGGGCTTTTTCCCATGGTGCTAGGCCAAGAGCCCAGGGCTGGGAGGCCATTGCTTCTCCCTCCCATTCTCCAGACACTACAAAAGTGAAGTAAACAAGGGCTGGTCGCATGTTGGACCTCTGGACTCAAGCTTTTGGAGGTGACCTGACCTTTGCCTGGCTTCTTCTTTTCTGTCTCATAGACTTTTAATGAATTTGAAATTGAGCAGCACCAGGAATGCGCCTATGATCACCTGGAACTGTATGATGGACCCAACAGCAAGTCCCCGATCCTCGGCCGTTTCTGTGGCAGCAAGAAGCCGGATCCTGTGGTGGCTTCTACAAACAGGATGTTTCTCAAATTCTATTCTGATGCTTCAGTGCAGAGGAAAGGTTTCCAAGCAAGGCATAGCACAGGTACACTGGGTTATTAGCTGTCTTTATGGGACAGACAACATTAAACTTTCTGATTATGCCATCACTCTCTCAGCCTTCTTCTACTCCAACCACCTCCTCAGCTCAATTTCAGCCTCATAGTCCCACCTTCCCCCTGAGTGATCCATCCACAAATCCCAGAAAGGAGTCATGTGAACACTTATGTTCTTGTCTTGGATTCAGGAAGCCCGAGGTTTATGTCCAAATTCAGACACTTAATAACTATGAGTTATTGTTTCTTTACAACTCTGTCTAAATTGAATGACCTATCTTGGTCATGCTTGGTCATCAAGAATGACCCTTGGCAAGTACCTTAATCTCTCTGGGTCTCAGTTTCCTCGTCTGTAACATGAGAAGTTTACATAGCAGATAGGGTATTGGAGTTTGAATGTTGCCTCAGAAACTCACTAACTTATTAGCTTCCTGACCTTGGGCGAATCAGTTAACGTCTCTGCCTCAGACTCCTCATCTGTTAAACAAGAGGCTAAACCTAATGGCTCCCAATATTCCTTCCAACTTTAGTCTATGATCCCATGCCTTTATTTAGTTTTAGAATTTAGTTTAATTCTTTTCAATGAACAAAAATCTGTTTTCTCTCCCTCCCAACCTTCTTATCCCATTAAAAATGTATTTTTAAAAAAAGAACCCTTGTAACAAATATTTATAGTCAAGCAAAACTAATTCCCACATTGTCTTTGTCACAAAATAGATGTTTCAGTTTGCACCTTGAGTTCATCATCTCTCTGTTGGGTGGTGGGTAGCATGCTTTAATTGTCAGTCCTCCAGAATCATGGTCATTCATTGCATTGATCAGAGTCCTAAAATTTTTCAAGGTTGTTTATCTTTGCAATGTTGTTATTATTATATAAATTGTTTGCCTTATTCTGCTCACTTCAATCTGCATGTTTCTACAGATCTACCTAGGTTTCATATAATTTTCCCTTTCCTCATTTCTTAATAACATGATAATATTCCATTTAATTTACATGCCATAATTTGTTTACCCATCCCCCAATTGCTGGGTACCCTTTTAGATTCCATTTCTTTGCTTTCACAATTAGAGCTGCTGTGAATATTTTTGTAAACAGGTCCTTCTCTTCTTTCTTTGATCTCTTTGAGGCAGATCCCATTCCTTCATTGACCTGCCTTTACCCATAACTCAGGCGAAGAGCTAAGGCAGGGACAAGAATCATAATGAATCATAATGGGTTGTATCTTTACTCCAGAGTGTGGTGGCCGGCTGAAGGCAGAAGTCCAGACCAAGGACCTCTATTCCCATGCCCAGTTTGGTGACAACAATTATTCCGGGCAGTCTCATTGTGAATGGGTTATTGCAGCAGAGGATGGCTATGGTGTGGAATTAATATTCCAGACATTTGAAGTCGAAGAGGAAGCAGACTGTGGGTATGATTACATGGAAGCCTTTGATGGCTACGACAGTACAGCACCGAGGCTGGGCAGATTCTGTGGCTCTGGGGTAAGTCCCAGACATGAAAGTCCTGAGCCAGAGCATCCTCTGGCCAATGGCAGGGTAACAGCATTGGAGAAGAATGTGGATTGGCATTTTGGGAGGCAGATGGATTTGGTGCAGATTGATGGTAATTAAATTCAATTATCTTAGGCAAATAGAAGTAAGGACTATTGGAAGTAAAATTCACTTGAAACTAGAGCCATAAGATGGAAACTAGTACAAGAATTTAGACAGTGTCAGGTTTTGAGAATCAAGACTGGATGTTGACCATGTGTACTGGTCTCAGTAAATATTCTTAAAATTTTTCTCCTTCTGTACTACATGAAGTATAGAATATTATTATTGTTCTTGGTGTGGCTCTATTCTTAGAGACAGCAAGAGTTTTTTTGTTTTGTTTTGATTTTTTTTTTTTAATAAAATGGGCCAATTATTTTGTTGCCTTTAAGACCAAATTTATTTACCTCTGCCTTTGGCCACACTCCTGAATATAAACAAACTTTGTTCAGACTCAAGTAAAAAACCTTTATTAGAAGAGTATAAACAACTGATTAACACAGACAATTCTATTCAAGAGAGAAGCAGGAAATTAAAGGACAGTGACTCTTGGGTTCTCCAGGCCAAGATGTAGGTGATAGCACTTCCTATTGTTCTACCGAGATGGGGGAAATAGTGTGTCTGAAGCCTGAATTCCTGGGGGAAAAGAAAATAGTTCTGGTTAGACTTCTGGGCAACACAGTTTAGGAATGACATTGATAAGCTGGAGAGCATTCAGAAGAGAGTTTCGAGGATGGTGAGGGGCCTTGAGTCCATGATATATGAAGATTGACTCATTTGTAGGAACTGATATTGTTTATCATGAAGAAGAGCAGACTGGGGAGGGGGAAGGGATGAGGATGGGAAATGTGGTAGGTAACTCAAAGTGTTTGAAGAGTTCTTGTGTGGAAGATGAATAAGCCTTGTAGTTTAACCTAAGAATATGAACTCTAAATCAGCAATAATTAGACAAATACAAATAAAAATAAGTCTGAGGTTCCACCACACACCCAATAGTACTGGTAAAGACATAAAAAAAAAAAAGAAATGACAATTGTTGTAAGGACTGCAAGAACACAGGCTTACAATGACATTGTCAGAGCTGTGAATGTGGTTCAGCCATGCTGGAGAACAATTTGCAACTGTTTGAACCAAGAGGGCAGAAGCAGGAGCACTCCAGAAATTTCAGGGAGGAAAATTTCTACTTCTTAATGATTAAAGTTGTCCAAAACTAGAGGCATTGGAGTTTGAATGTTGCCTCAGAAACTTACTGGCTTACTAGCTTCCTGACCTTGGGTGAATCAGTCAATAGCTCTGTGCCTCAGCTTCCTCATCTATTAAACAAAGGGGCTAAACTTGAAGGCTCCCAAGAATCCTTCCAACTTTAGTCTATGATCCCATGCCTTTATTTTTTTTTTAGAACTTTAATTTAAATTTTTTAATGAACAAAAATCTATTTCTTCTCCCTCCAACTCTCTTACCCCATTAAAAACATATATTAAAAAAAGACCCTTGTGACAAATATTTAGAGTCAAGCAAAACTAATTCCCCACATTGGCCATATCACAAAATGTATGTTTCAATTTGCACCTCCACTAGAGAAGTCTTATAGCACAGGCTGGATAATCACTTGTATGGATCCTTTTGGGGGGCATGGGTAAGACTAGATGAGTGCTGAGGTCCCTTCCAACTCTGCTACTCTATGTTTCTGTGTAGTTTGGATGCAAGGCTGAGACCTTTGTCAGGGCAGGAGTCTATTTAAGATAGAGTTTGAGCCCTTGGTCACACAGTAGGGAAAATGGTGTCCCAGGGTTGGGTTAATTACTTATATGATAGAAACTCAGTCAGAGCCTCTTTTAGACATTTGCCAAGGGCACTTCCAAGCTCTATTATATTGTGTCATATGGCTTTTACAAAGTAGAGAGATCCAGTGCAATGGAAAGATGTTAGATTTGGACTCAGAAGACCTGGGACAAATCCCAGCTTTCTCACTAACTCCCTGAATGACCCTGGACAAATCACCTCACCATTCTTGGCTTCTGTTTCTTTATTTGTAAAATGGAAGGATCATGTTAAGAATCCTTCTAGTTCTAGATCTGTCTTCCTATATGGTCCTTTAGGACCCAAAATTCCACGGGATGGGTCTTTGCAGTTTATACCAGTTGCCACTAGGTGGTGGTCTTGCTTCCAGCATCAGCTGCAAATCCAATTCTGGTGAATGAGTTTATTATAAAACTCAGACTTGAGATATTCGTGAGCAAATTGACACTTTCTTGGCAAAGTATTATTTACATAGATAACTAATTGGACCAGTTATATAGAAGAAGAGCTAGGTAGAGTCATAGCTAGTAATTCTGATGCCTACATCAAATCTGATGCTTGGGGCAAGCACAAAAGAGAGACACAAGTCAACTTTTTAAGGAAAAAGTCATGGTGGGGATGAGAGGACAGAGGAGCAAAATCTCAAAGAGAGACTTTGGAAAGTTTGAGACATAAATCCCAAGTGTGTGTGTGGGTAGAGGGGAATTGGAACAAAATTGCTCTTTAGAATGGTCTCTGAGAGATGGTTGCAGGGGAAGGAACAGGCCAGGGCCAGTTTAGAAAGGGGCTTCAGTACAACCACTGAAGGGAGAGTGATATAGTGAAGAAGTTGCCATCTGGTAGTTAGTTTTAATTATCTTACAATTTTAGCTAATTATTCTCTCTAATTAAGTGCTTGCTTCCTGAGAGGCAGTGTAGAATAGTGGGCAGAAGACTTCAAACTATGACTGAGACATCTTGTGCTATGTTATTACCTATATTATTAATGATTTAGATTATGGTATGGCTATTATGCTTATCGAATTTACAAATGCTGCAAAACTGAAAGGACGTAGTTCCCACATTGTAAAATGCTTCAAAGCACCAAAAATAAAATGGGTTGGATCCAGAAAATAAGAATAGTGGGTAGAGAGATGGCCTTAGAGTCTAGAAGACTGGGATGGAGCCCCACCTCTGCTGCAGGCTAGCTGTGTGACCCTGGGCAAATCTCTCAATCTCCTTAGCCCCATACAGCTAATTCTCTAAGACAAGATTTCATAGCCCTTTTTCTGTCATGGACAATCTGGTGAAGCCCATGGTGGAAGCCTTTTCTTAGAATGTTTTAAAGTTTATTAAATAAAATACATAGGATTATGAAGGAAACCAATTATATTGAAATATGGTTATCAAACCATTAAAAAAAAAAGCACAAATTTGGAGACTCCAGGTTAAGAAGCCCTTCTGAGACTCTTAAATAATGGCATAGGTGCAGATCTGTATTGGTAGAGGAAATGTCCTTGGTGGGAGTTCTCTACATTAGTGGAATCACAGGTGTGGTCCAAAAAAAGGAACAACAAAAAAGGGAAAACTAGATGCCTCACCCTAGTTCCAACTCCAGATAGAGGTATAGAAGGCAGCAGGCTTAATTCACACTCTTTCAGATTTTTAAAATAGATTTACTTTTGTCAATGTCTTTTGTTTTTACATCACCTAGATTCCCTCCTGTATCTCTGTTCTCCTCCTTCCAGACAGCCATCCATTATAATAAAGTTTTTAAAAATAAAGCAGTAAAAAAGAATAAAAAAAAATAAAGTTGATCAATACGTTAAAAAAATCTGACATTATATGCAGTTTTCCACTCCCTCTGCCCCTTATCGCTGCTTCTTCCTCAGAGAAGAGAGATGTTTTCTCATGATTCTTTCTTTCTTTTTTTTTTTTGGCTAAGCTTTCAGACATCTTCACACTTATAACTTCACTTTGTTCCTCTACCTTCGAAGTTGGAATCCACTACATTGGCATTCACTCCAAGGCTTTGCTCCTCCTGTGTTTCATTGAAACATTGTGATGAACAAAAATTGCTTTGGCAATGCCCTTCTGTACACACACACATGCACTCACACACATGCACACACACACACATATGTATATATGCACACATATACTGGCGTGGCTAAGCCACTGCAGGAAAGCCTCTGCTTCTAACTTGTGCACTAGTCACCTGACTTTAGTGAAGTTCTTACATAAAAGCATGGCCAAACGCTATTCAAGGACTGACTCTGCTACTTTTGGTAAACCACAAGGAACATCTGGATCAGAGCTTTTGAATGAGAAGGGACCTTAGAGGTCCTCTGGCCTAACCCCTCCCTTTTAAAGACAGAGAACTGAGATTTAGAGAGGTTAAATGCCATAGTGTCAGAGACAATATTTGAACTCAGATCCTTCAGACTCCTGGTTTAGCACTCCCATGTTTTGACACTATACCACCCTGACTCTCAATCCTTTGGACTTTTCTGCCTGTGGAATCTCACCTGGACCAGGGCAACAACCTCCTAACAGGTCTTCTTACCTCATCTCTTGTCCATCTGCTCCATTCCCCAGCACTTTGACAGATAGTCTTACCCGGTGCACATGCACACTCCCATCACTCACCCTCTCTGTTCAAACTCTCTACTATGACAAGTCCTATCTATTCAGACTCCACAATCTTATCCACATCTCTTTCCCTCCTTACTTTCCCCATTGCCTTAATTCTAGTCTTTGCAAACCTAAAAGTGTCAGATGCTGCAGAGATACCCAGAGAAATAAAAACTACATAAAAAACAAAGTCATTGGATTTGCTGATTAGCAACCATTGAGAAAAGACTTTTAGTAGAATGGTGAGAATGGAAGCCTTGTTGAAAGCTTTGGTCATATCACCTCCAGCTTCTCCCCACCTAGACTTTTCCTCCTGAGTCTCTTAGCTCTGATAGGTGAGCTTTTGCCATATCTTGCTGAATTCCAGGCCCCCAAGCCACTTTCCAGTCTCTTTCCCTTCCCCTTTTATGTGCTGTCTGGTCTCCATTAGAATGTAAGCTCCTGGTAGGTAAGGACTGTTTAGCTTGTTTGTATTTGTGTTCTAAGAACTTAACACAGTGTCTGGCACATAATAAGTCTTAATTTATTTTTAGTCACTGATCTGCGTATCTATTCATGTATGTCTTTACTTCTCTATCTATATATATATATACATTTATATCTGTCTATCCATCTATATATCCATCCGTCAATCTATATATCTGTCCATCCATCTATCCATGTATGTATGCATGCATGTGTGTATAGGCCTGCCTGCCCCTGTCTATTTTTCTATCATGGTAGAGTACAGTGGAGCCCTAGACTTAGAATTAGGTGGAAACTGGATTCAAATCCTGCCTCTGACACTTAGTAGCTGCATAACCATGGTCAAGTCACTTAATCTCTCTTCTTAGTCTCCTTATCTGTAAAATGGAGCTAATAATGGAAGTAGTCGCTCCCTTATAGGTTGTTGTGATCACATGTGAGAATGTATGCAAAGTACTTTGAAAACCTTGACCTGCCTGGTGTTATTCTTCAACTTATTTAAATGCTGGTTATCCTTTCTTCTTTTCTCAGCCTTTAGAAGAAATCTACTCTGCAGGGGATTCACTGATGATCCGCTTTCACACAGATGACACCATCAACAAGAAAGGCTTTCACGCCCAGTATACAAGCACCAAATTTCAAGATGCTCTACACATGAGGAAGTAGTTTCAGTGTTCCTTAAATACATCACCATCTTTGATACCAACACCCAAATGAGTTTTATTTTCCCCAGGAGCGGTACTCTGTTAATCTGACCCAAAACACTGCACAGTATTTTCCTCCAACCAAAACTCAAAATCCAGCCTTTCTTTGAACCGAAAGGACATGATACTCTCTTTTGCTGACATTTCAAAGACCAAATACGTTCCTTTGCTGAGATGTTTTCAATCATTGGCCCAAAGGAGTTGTTTGATTATTTTTCAGCAATGTCAAGGTTTCAGTTGAAAGGAGTAGCTGGACATCCGAGGACACCAATGGATGCACTGCCTCCCTCCCTCCTTGGATGGGTAGTGGGAAGGTGGGTTGGCACCTGAGATCGTCCCTTCCTTTCAGAAAGAGTCAGGTCGGATGAGAGACAACGTGACCATGTTCAGCCTTTTCCCCTAGTCAGCTGAATCTAGATCTGTGCAATAAGTGAGAAGCTTGATAATTGTTGATTTAGATACACTGTGCATTAATTTAATTCCCAACAGCACATCACTATTCTGCTTGTAGGGAGTCTAAAAGAGCTGCCTTTTTGCTTGTTGTTAAAGCATATTAGGTCATAGGAATACAGGATCTTAGAGCTGGAAAGGACTCTAGAGGTCTTCTAGCTCTATGCTTTCATTTTACAGATAAGGAAACTGAGGCCCAGAGAGGTAAAGTGACTTGCTCAAGGTCACATGGCTAGTTAGGAGCTAAACTGGGTCTCCAACTCAGGTCTCCTAATTCCTGGTCTTTCCACTATACCATACTGCCTCCCAGAAGCCTGTGGTGTGCCACAGGCTAGAATGCTGCTTGGATGCCAAAACCAGAAAGTCCTTTGCATTTCTGAGTGTAAGTGGGGAGATCATGGATCCAAGAGAACTGGGATGGAGCTGTTAGAAATGGTCCTCTGGCTACATCAACTAGGGTGGGTGGGAGGGAATCATCAATCTCTCTTTCCTCCTTCTTGGTTGCCCTTCTTTGTATGAACAGATCCTTGGGCCAAACAGTCATCGTGGTGTCCTCTTTGTAGCATAGAGGAGCCATTGGACTGCCATGATGAGAGCCTCTATCGTGCCAGAAAAGAGAGTATTTCCTAGCCTCAGAGGAACTAACTTGTCTCCGAAGTAGCCAATGCTCATTTCATTGGCAAATGGCACGGAGGACAAATGCTCTGCAAGAGACTAGCTCTTTTCACCTATGTGGCCTAGAGCTCAGAAAGATCATAAGCTAAGAGAGGATCATCACATGGTCCAGATTAATTGTCTGCAAGTTTCACTGGCAGATCTAGTTAAGAAAAATGGCTTCAACCAAGTTCCTTGAGATCAGACCACCAGCTGGTGATCAGAATGAACAAGGCTTGGCATTTCTTTGGGAGAATTGCAAAATCTGAATCTTGAACCATTGTATAGCATCATGATATAGTTTTAGGGGGAGGTTAGTTCTGAATGGCATTTTGTTAAGGCAAATGTGGGCATTATGAGCTAAAAGCTGTGGTGTGTTAGCTTTAATGAAGTATTTATGATAAAATAATTTATAATGATGTTTACATAACCTTAAGTATCGTTAGGTAAGAAGTTGGCTATGGCACATATGTTTCAGAAATAGATTGTTCTCAGTTAATATTAAAGACAACTCCCGTGCCTTTGGGGACTAAATGAAAGTCATTTAAACTATAGTATGTGAAGAAAGTTAAAGTAATATTTTAAAAATTGGAAAATCCCACCATAAGAAATTACCCAAATAAAATCATGGTTGGGAGTTTTAAAAAAAAAAAGGTTGTATAAAGGTAAAGGGAAATGCATGAAAATATTTTCTTGCTTTAAACAGGAAGAAGCTAAGTAATAATAATAATAATAATAATAATAATAATATATATGTATATGTATGTGTGTGTGTGTAAAGGATCAGTAGTCAAAGCCTTAATAAATGTAATATGAAAATGTTATACTTGTTGACCACAGTTTTACTGCAGGCCATGCAAAATGCTCTAATAGTATGTTTGGTTGGTTACACCTTGCATTTGCTTTAAATAAGTTCCATTTCGGTTACACACCCAGGAATGTCATGCAATATTACATCATAATGTAATAGGATTTCCCAAAAGTCTCTATTCGATAAACTCTTAATAGATTAAAATTGCATGAAGACTTTTGGGGTACCCCATATAGGAGAATCTACCCACCCTGGACTTTTGGACTAGGAGACTAAGCCAACATGTTCAAATTAAATTTTCACCACATATTTCAGTGGTTTCTATCCCAGTGTTGTACTTCCAAGGGAGTTCCCCCATGCCATCCTCCTATCACACTGGGCAAAGTTGAAACCAAAGGCAGGACACAGAGAAATGATTTGGGTACTTTTCTGCCTAGGAACTTGAGACATTTTGGTTTCCAGCTAGTAAGTGGTAGAGCCAGAATTCAAACCCAGGTCTCCTGATTTCCAAATCATCCCTCTTTCCACAATAACACACTGTAGCAAAATTGCTCCTGTTGTACTTGAAACTCAGGATATTTCACATAAAGGTCATATTTTGAAAAGGACACTGAGCATAACTTCGGTCCACAGATACTGGGCTATTGTCCTGTCACTGAGTTCCTGGCCTAGTGCTTGAAACAAGGAGATACCAGAGACCGCCAGATTCCTGCTCCACCTGAAGACAGAACAGAGGACTTGGGTCTTTGGAGCCCAGCATATTTTACTCTTAAGACAGTCCTTGTTCAGTATAGTTTATATCTGGGATCTCCTTGATCACCCTTGAGTAGAACCTTTCTTCCACCCATGGCTCCTCCCTTTCCATTCTGATATGCATTGGAAATTCTCATGTAGACTCCTAGAATCACAGAATTTAAGAGTCGGGAGGTGGGGCTTTAAGGACCTTTTGTTCCAACCCATACCCAGAAGGAATCCCCACATACTTGACAAGTGTTTATTCAGCCACTGCTTGAAGATTTCTAACGAGGAGGAACCTATCACCTCCAAGACAACCCATCCTACTTTGGCCACCTCTAAGTCTTAAAGCTCAGGCACATATCCCCTTCTAGTTTCTTAATTAGGGCATTGACTTCCAAAGCTATCCTCTGAACCAGACAGACACTGCCCTGAGACTAGCCCAGAATAATCTTCCCAGCCAGAGCTTTCATAAAATCAAATCTCTGGATCAGCCAAAAAGCAGATCTGGACTTATGGTCTCGGCATTGCCTTGACTCCCCTTATGTCTTGCTGGCTCTTCAATCAACTGGCCTTGCTGTTGTATCAACATCCCTCATACGTTTTCCTTGTTTATTCTAGGCCAGTTCTTAAGACCTGGAGTGCCTTTCAATCTTACTGGCTTTTGGAAGACCCAAAGTAGACATGGTGGTGTTATCTAATCTAGCAGAAGCACATAGCCCATGTCCCAGTGCAGGGCTAGGCAAAGAAAATAGCTGATTGAGTGGAATTTCTACAATCAGAGAGAAAATGGGAATATGGCCATAATTTACCAATTACAAGACTTCTCTGTCATGAAGTTGTTAAGTTTCTTATTGCTTCTGGAGTGATACCTATTCATGGACATGAGTGGTATTTTATTCATTGTGAAAGTTTTCAGTGAGGCTTATTGAGAAGACTGGTTATATTTGAGAATACTAAAATAATTAGGTTTTTGTTAAGACTGTAGGCAATTGTTGAGTCTACCTCAACAAATAATTTTTTTAGATCTCTCCCATCATAGGCTGAAATTCTATGATATACAAACACTGAAATTCTATAATTCTATGAAATTCTATAATAATCCCAAATGCCTAAAAGGTTTCTTTTTCTTTAAAAAAAATGTTTAAAAGGGTCCATATAACCACAGGAAAATGTGGGGCTTTTTGTTTTATATGAATGTTAAATACAATGAGTCAGTTTTGAAAACACAAAATAGGAAGGTGCAGAGGAATTTAAAATATCTGTCTGGGAAGAAATGAGTCATCAAAGAATATGGATTCATTGTGTGTCAGGAATTCAACTGAACAAACTCTTATTAAGTACAAGGCATTGTGCTAGGATCTGGGAAAACATGGACAAAAAGTTCCTGCCCCCAATGAGCTTACATTTTACTGGAGAAAAGATACATGAACAGAATCCTAACTCCAAAAAATACAAAGTAATTTTTTTTTTGGTGGGAAAAGCACAACTCAGAGGGGGTGGCATGGTGAGGAGAGGCCTTGGGTAGGAAGTGCCATCTGAGCTGAAGCTTGAAGGAATCTAGAGATTAATTATGTGGGGTTGAGGTGAGGAGGAACATTCCATTTCAAATGGGAGTTTGGAGGAAACAACCTGAGAAGAAACGAAGGGAAATGAGGATGACATGTAAGTTTCTCCAGGCTGCCATCTCTTTGGTCATGGCTCACTCTAAACCCTAGAAAAACTGGGAGGGGAGAGGTGGAGACTATGGGGGGGGGGACTTCTCTTTCATTTGGAGGGGTGTGTGTCATTTTTCTTGGGAATTAAATTGCTCCAGATTTGCATAGAAATAGAAGTTCAGGAAGACAAGAGGCAGCTTTCAAAAACTGTCATCACTTTTTGACCTGGTCAAGCTGCAAGATCTCAGAACGCAGTTTTGGAGGAGATAGTGGCTGTTATTGCTGCCACCGCCATATTTCCAGACATTTATGAAGTTATTGTGGATACCACGACAGAGACCTCAGCTTTCAGGTCATCCTGAAAGTTTCTGCATCACTACAGTTTTATGGGCTGCCCATTTAATCTATTTTTGTGGGAACTGAGGTATAGGAAGTTCCATGTTTTCATAAAAGCTTACCATCGGTTTCAAGACTGAACCTTTTAGCACATACAGCTAAATTTGTACCATTTGTATTCAGAACCCCCAGCTTAGCTGGCTCCCTGTCAGTTTGAAGTTACTGGTGTAAACTCCCTATGCCTCTCAGGCAGGTCTGCCATTTCTTCTACGCCCACAAGATGCTCTTCTGAATTGCATAGGGATTGATTGATGTTTCACCTTCACTTTCCAGGTTTCTGAGAAAATATGTTTTATGTTTGGCTACGAAGTTTCATTTTAGTCGCCACTCTGTTTCATCGCTTTGGATTGTGGTTTGCTATACATCTCAAAGTGTGCAGTTTTATAAAGTGACCTAACCTCAGCCCAGGACACCTAAAATGGGTTTCAGCTGATACAGATTTTTACGGCTGGTGGGTAGAAATAATGGTGAACTTTTCCCTTTCATAGGGATTTCCTCTTTCTTTTTTTTTAATTTATTAAGTAAAAAATTTTTTTTAAATAATTTATTAAGTAGCTACTATGTGCCAGGCACTGTGCTGTATAGTTTACAGATATTATCTCATTTAATCCACACAACTCTGAAAGGCAGGTGCTATTATTATTGAGGCAAACAGAGGTTAAGAGACACCCAGAATCACATGGTGAGTATCTGAGGCCAAATTTGAACTCAGGTCTTCCTGACTCCAGGCCTAGCATTCTATCCATCATTGTGGTTTTATTTTGACTCTATTGATATTTAATATTAAAAAGGAATATGGTGATATAACATTATATTCATCCCACATGTGAAAGTGTGGGATGTCATATGGTAAGTATTGAGTGCCCTGAATACAGAATTGGCTAAGACAGGTGAAGATTGGCTAACTGGCCAGTCAATAAGCATTTATTGAGCGCTTATGGTGCCAGGCTCTGTACTAAATGCCGGGGATATAAAGAAAGGCAAAAACAAGATCCCTGCACTCATGGAGCTCACATCTAAATAGGGGAGACCACAGATAAATAAGTCAATGTTATAAAGAAGACCCCAGACTCAGTTCCAAAGACTGGCGTCTCAAAGACTTATTAAAGAGACTGAAGAGGGGCAGGTAGGTGGCACAGTGGATAGAACACTGGCCCTGGATTCAGGAGGACCTGAGTTCA